GTGTACGTCCAATCAGAACCAAATCCTCGACTCGGGGTGCTAGAAGCCCGCATTTCATTATTTATCATCTCCTAAACTGTGTAGTCCAGCTAGTTGGCATTTTTTTCAATAGCTGCGGACTATTATAAACATTATTTATGAAAAACATGGGGACAATCTTAAGAAAAGCGTGTTTTCTAGGAATATGCCTCAACTGTATAGCAAGCGAAGATTGAGCGGAGAGATTTCTTCACGGGTACTTAATTTAAGAACCCGTGAGTTGTTGAAATAAAAACCTTGAGGTTCTTAAATCGCCAACCTTGGTTTCTCAAATTATCTTCATTAATTACGGCGTGACATCGCAACTTAGGCAACCCCTCCCCCCCACTCCCAGAACCTCTTCCTTTCCCCAATCGCGTGACGCAATATTTAATGTACTCAACGGTCCTTATTTTAACAACCCAGGATTCTTAATTTCAGCACCGAACTTCCGAAGAACAGAAACTTTTTTCCGATGTTAGTAACGATCAGATTAGAAGTGTTAAATAACATAGTCTTATGAGAAAATGGCATTCTCAGGGTTAATTAAAAGATTCAAATTTATAAAAAATGTTAGTACATGAGAAGAAATGGATAGGAATCCTTTTCCAATATAAAAACTCTTCACAGTCTCAAACTCGTTGGCCATGATAAAATACGCTAAACAAACACGAAATTTTAATACTCCGTTGGTCGCGCTGTGAGCGCCGCGCCGCACTTTTTCTGATCTTTTAAATTATACTGCAGTGAAGCGTCAGAAAATTTTGAAAAAATTTAACATCTCACTTTGAAGTGTCTAAAGGCATATCAATGAAAATATCCGCCAAAAATATCATAAGTAATTAGATTTTCAAATTTTTACCGTGTATGAGCCGAATTTTGAGAAAAAGATGGCAACTTTCAGCTTGAATATATAATTAAGGGTAACACTGAACATAACAAATCTCACGGGGCATTCTTCAAGTATATGATCTAAATCACTCATGATTATTTCAGATTTTTCCTAGACCTCTCAAATTTATCATTATGTCGATTTATGCTGGTGCGGCGCGACCAACGGCGTTCGTAACTTTTGCGCGACCAACGGAGTGTTAATCAAAGAAATAATTTAAAAAACAATTTGATGGATCCCTTTCATGCACTCATTAAAGTTAGAATTCATATAAAAGAATATCAATCATAAATAATTATTTTTTTCGGCATTTGAAATTCATGTTTCCTCGTTACACCCACCGCCTGCTCAACTGGAATATGTTCATACTACTTTAATTTCGCTCAGTGATGGATAACGTTCTTCTTAACTTTCCTGACGAGTATCAATTCGCTTGAAATTTCTTCTATCCCTGGTAAAACAGTCTGATTATTTCCGACTGGGTGATAAAAAATGAATCGGCGTTAATGATGTTTCTGTCTTTGCCCGGTGAATTCCGATTGGCTGGTAGGTTTGGAGTTTGAGAAAATTATGAGAATTAATAGGATCAAGGATATGTGGCCGTTATCGTCCGAGTACTTTCCAAAAAAGTGGTTAATACATCTCATATTACGCATATAAATATTTAAATGAGCAATAAATATTAAATATTTATATGAGCAATATGAGATCTATCAACCACTTTTTTGGAAAGTAATCGGACGATAACGGCCACATACCCTTGTTCCCAATAATTCTCATAATTTTCTCAAACTCCAAACTCTACCTACCAGCTAATCGGAATTTAACAGGCAAAGACAGAAAAATCATTAACGCCGATTCATTTTTTATCACTCAGTCGGAAATAATCGGACTGTTTTACCAGGGATTAAACCCTCGCCAGAGTTACTCTCAATCCTGAATTAAGGCTGTTGAAATCGGAATCCAACGATTTCTCGACTCTAAATCACAGTACTTATGGAATACCTGGTGCTCCGGGTTCACCCTTGAACCCTTGAACTCCACGACCACCATCTTTTCCATGATCTCCTTTACTGCCTTTCAATCCCGGTTCTCCTTTCGTGCCTTTCGATCCGGTGATTCCACTCTCTCCTTTCGGTCCAGGATGTCCTGGCATCCCAGCGTCTCCCTTCTGTCCCGGTAATCCTGGCCTCATCGTAATACCCTCCTGCAGATTGAAGCAATCATTACAAGAAAATCTTCTGTACACGAGTCGTACTATTTTATTTTGATGTGCTTCCTCATGAATATATTTTCACTCACTCTAGATACAGGAGACATTCCTTGTCTAATCCAAAGAGGCTGCGTGGAGGAAAATATGATGTTGGAAATATATTTTGCAAGCCACGTACAGCATACAACATTGTCAATAAAAAAAATAACATAAAAACGTCTCCAATTCTTTAGATTCTAACCCAAGAATCTTGAACCTTGAAGAACTCTGATGTTTGGCCAAGTGGAATGAAGTTATCTGAACCATAGGGTGCATAGAGCAAATACCACCCTGTGCGCGTCTGAGTATACTCAGTCTATATTTACTTGCTGAAGGATACGCATCACTGGCACTGACTGACGGATAGAATGAGGGTAACTGCACATGTCGAGCGCCGCGAGGAAGTGTGTGAACGTCACACAATCACGAAAATCCGTTGGATATATGTATTGTGTGATAAGGTCTGAGGAAATTAAAAACTTTCAGCGAATTTCCATTGCAAATATAGTATAGTTTACTTCAACTTTTCACAATAGTTGAGTGGAAATGCAGACAATGAAACGTGGCGTTGAAATCGAGTTTATTTGGTGTGAAAGAGGGGAAGTTGACGAATGAGAGGAACTCAGTGAAAACGTTTGGAGGCCAGCTGGGAAGGAGGGGTCAGAAATGAAGCGGAAACTGGTTAGTGAGCCAGGTTGACTCTCTGATGGAGATAAAACAAGATAGTAGACTCGGTAGACGGAAATTTTACGTTGGTGCAAAATTTTCCTGAAAGGCTAACGACCCGTGGGGTTGGGAGTTTGACGAAAAACTTTTCATCCGAAGAACCAATGGAAAAGTCAGTGCTTTTAGTTGGGCTTGTTGAGACAGGGAGAAGATGCCATCGAATCTTTTCGAGTCCACCATCTGGCCGCTTCTCTTTACCTTCAACTCTGACGTTTGCAGTGAAACCATCCGACAAAGAGCGAAATAGGGAGAAGAATTATAAAACGAAGAAGGAAAAACGTACTGAGAGTAACTCTTTTTAAAGAATTTTCTTTTTTTTCTCTCTTCCTTCTTTTTTTTTCTGTTGACTCTTCTCTGCACTTTCTGACCCTCTCATCGACGACTTTTACACCCCGTTACTCTTGAAACTGGCGGTTACTGGTTCGATGTAGGCATGCACTAGGCAGCCGAGAAATTGGTTTCTGTATTCTCAGGGGAAATCGTGTGGCTCTCGGGGCCCTCGCGTGCTCATTCTACCATGACTGTGTAAGACAACGACACAGCCAATATATACGTACAACATACCCGTCCCTCTCAAACATTCACTTCCGAATCGACGAGTCAGACAGCTCCAATATTTGAATATCGGCTTTGTCTCTCAGCCGAAAACAGATAGTTGAATTGCCGGAGTGAAGAACATTATCAAATTAACGACTTACTCCTGTCTTATTCTTCTTCCCTGCTATAAATCACCATTTTCCTAACTGCATCATCAATCTACTCTTTGATTTGTCCCTAGGGATATAGCGGCAGCCGGGAATTAGGAAATGAGGATGCCTTGATACTTCTGAAGTTCCTCTGACCTCGTTGAGATTCTGTGACCTCGATTCGACATAATGTCAGCTCGTTGATCGTTTCATATGGTTCACAGAACATCGTGTGACCCAGCGATCATTAAAATGATTGCTGTATGAAAGACGGCGGAGTTCGACATGTAAAAGAAATTTGAAATAAAGAAGTAGCTAGGAATCGGATAGTTCAGTTGGAAGAGTACACGGAGAAATTAAGAGTACACGTGAGAGAAATTTTATCCTGGTAAAAATAAAAATTACCGTGCCGGTAGAGTAAAAATTACTGTACCGGTAGGGTAAAATTTACCAACCGTTCTAGAATTTTCGTTGTTATCTACGTAAAAATTATTGGTCTGGAAGGGTAAGATTTATTATGTGTCAGGATAAAATTTCTTTTTTTTTTAATCGTTATTTTACATGGCTTCGACCCAGTTAGGGTATACTGCGATGATGATCAAGACTTTAAATGGTTAGATCCCACCATTCTACCCGGCCGAGATTTGAACTAGGAACCTTTCGCATGTGAAGCAACGAACTTACCCACTGCGCCAAGCCATCGGGATAATAAAATTTCTCTAATGTAGAATAAAATTTGATCATCGTATATTAATTTCTACTAAATTTCGGGATAGAAATGAGGAAACCATGACTCATAATACACTTTTATAGAACACAAATTTTTCTCCGTGTACTCGACGTATAATCGGAAGGTTCCGGGTTCAGATTTCGGCCTGGACCATCCAATTTTGTCAGTAATTTTTCTTGCAAACTTATATTGAGAATCATCCTGGTTCCCTCCTACCTATTCCAAAAATCCTATCCAACAATATCCTGTGACGTCACCAAATGTGGAACCCTATATAAACTCCCCTCTTCGCTAGTAGAAATTAAACGAAATTCTGCGACATTGAGCCAAAGTGCCTATGCCTATAACATGGAATGTCGTGCACCAACGGCGCCACGAGATCCACGCGAAATTCAATTTCTACTAGGGTTGTGTCATATTTTCAACAACATTATCCAATTAACGACTTACTCCTCTCCGTTTCTCCTTCTCTGCTATAAATCACCATTTTCCTAACTCCATCATCAATCTACTCTTTGATTTGTCCCTAGGGTTATAGTAGTAGCGACCATTCGCAGAATGGGAATGCCTTGATACTTTTGAAGTTCCTCTGACCTCGTTGAGATCATATGATCTCAATTCAAGAGAATGTCAGCTTTTCTTGTAAACTTATATCGAGAATCACCCGGTTTACCTCCTACTCCAAAAATCCTATCCAACAATATCCTGTGACATCACAAAATGTGGAACTCTATATAAACTCCCCTCTTGTGTCATATTTTCAACAACATTATCCAATTAACGACTAACTCCTCCCTTATTCTTCTTCTCTGCTATAAATCACCATTTTCCCAACTGCATCATCAATCTACTCTTTGATTTGTCTCCAGAGTTATAGAGTGATAGCCGGGATTTACAGAATGGGGATGCCTTGATACTTTTGAAGTTCCTTTGACCTCGTTGAGATCCTGTGACCTCGATTCGAGATAATGTCGGCTCGTTGATCGCTTCACATGGTTCACAGAACATCGTGTAACCCAGCGATCATTAAAGGGGAGACCGTGATGATAATATCGACAGGTTTACCAATGAATTATTGGGTAACAATCCAGGAGATTTTGCTGAACATACTATCCTCGTAATGAAGATCTTCGAAGGCCTATCTTAGTGATATTTTTATTCAAACTACAGGGTTCAAGTAATTATCGATGAATCCTCAAGCGTCTTGTCATATTCAGAAAGGAATAAAAGAAACTCCGAATGAAAAGGGAGAAGAGAAGCGATGTGAATATTGAGGAGGGTCTTTAAAAGATTCATTTAACGTTTGAGAGTAGCGTTGCGGTATCCCAAGAGTCTAGCACTCAGCGATGATTGCCTTGGCATCTGAGGCAGACTGAGTACTTCAGTACATCATTAATCGATACTCACCTCGTGGGGGGAGAAGTCATCAGCTTTGCCTGGTGGTCCTGGTGGTCCGGGATTCCCCTTTTCTCCAGCTATACCATCTCGGCCTGGCTCACCCTTTTGTCCCTGTGGCCCTTCTGGTCCTGTCACACCGAGGTCGCCTTTGTCGCCTTTAGGGCCAGCCGTACCCGGTAATCCACGCTCGCCAGGTGGTCCTGCCGATCCCTTGAAATTTAATTTGATTATTAATTAATTAGTTTGGTTGCAGGTCTAAATATTACGGAACCATTACTACGGAGCCATTATTACGGTAAAAAATATTACGCAAAAATATTATGGGACAAAATATTACGCAGAAAATTATTACGGGACAAAAAATTATTGAACCGTAATATTACCCTACATAAAGGTATGGAATCAAGGACAACCCTTTATCCGCTCGATTAGGAATTCTCCTAAAATCAAATCGATACAATAATAGCCCAACACCAAAAAATATGACCCGAGGTCAGTTACCATCGATTACTCAACAGGTGTATGAGTTGGTACGATTATATTAATCCCCCAAAACAAAATAAAATTCCCTCAAACATTCACACACAAAACCGAAGATTCTTCAACAAAAGTTAACTATATCGGAATGCTCGACACGAGTGCGTTGAAATAATTACCATGTCTCTTCATTTCAACCTCAGCCAAAAAGGTGCAAAACTATTATTACACAAAGGTTTTTTATTCAACAAATTACGAATTTGTGAAACAAAAGAAATGCTGTAAATAACGGAAAATAATAATGAAAAATAACACCGACGTCGGTAAAAATGTTGAAATATTATTTCCAATAATAAAAACGACCAATAATAATTAGACCCCGTAACAATTTGGATCGTAATATTATTTACCGTAATATTATGACGTAATATTTTTTACCGTAACATTTATACCGGATATCAATTAGTTTCATTGTTCTGCAATGACTAAAATTTTAGTGAATGCCTGCATATTCGCTTCTAATGGAAATTGTTGTGATAAATGTGTTTTTGGTAACGGAATGCCTCATGTATATGTATTCATGGAAATTGGAAATTGATAGGAGAATTCCTATTCTACCTTCAATAACATTGTTCTGGTTTTCAAATGGATTCAATTAGTGATCGGAAAATTATCCAATTTCTCATTGTTTGAATATTGTAAATAAATACCGATGAGTGCGCTTTTACTGAGTGTGCAATTGTATACACAAATCAATGAACACATAATTACCGTTAACCCACGTTCCCCCTGTTTTCCTTCTTTGCCGGATACGCCAGGCTCTCCCTTTGGCCCAGCAATCATTTTTGGCATCATGAAGCTTGTCATCAAAGCAGTTACATTGCAAGTGCATGTGCCAGGTTCACCCTTCGGTCCCGGTGGTCCTTGTGGCTTAATTCGCTTGTCATCGTCACTTAAATCGTACAGATTTCCAGGGGGACCCGGCGGTCCCGGGGAACCACGCACACTCTCGCCCCTCTCACCTTTATCACCTTTGTCGCCCTTTAATCCTCTTGCTGAAATCGAAGCAGTAATTGTTTATAAGAAGGGAGGCTAGTGGTTGAACATGATCTAGTCGATGTTGTTTTATTGATGCCAATCCACGGAGAGAAAAGTTCGATAAAAATCATAGGAAAGATACACACATAGTAAAAAATTTATAAAATATTTATCTATTGAAAAAAGTTGAGAGAAATGGGAAAACGTATGGAGACAGATATTAATATGCTGATCATGATATCTTGTGTTATGACTGTAAAATCCATGATTTTACAATAGAGATCTCAAAAACATGAAACCTTAAGTAAGGTTGTAAGGGCACAGGAGTTGGAATCGGAAAATATACACGAAGAGGATTTTTTTAGAAAAATTCTAGTGCTAGCACAGGAAAAGAGACGCAAAGTGATGGCCAGGAAAAAATTCCAGTGCCGGCACTAGAAATTTTATTGGGGAGAACGTGAATTTTTCCCTGTATTTCTGTGAAAATTTCACAGAAATCCTCGGAAATTTGACCAGAAATACCATGAAATTTTATCTTAACACTAGAATTTTTCACAGCCGGTGGATTGTAATTTTTTCTATTACTCGTACTACAATTTTTCTACAAAATTTCTCTCCGTGTACAGCGTGAACTTCCATTGGAGCCTCAATGTTGGATTTCATGGAGAAAAAATGTAGTTTTGAAAAAAAAAATCCAGTTTGTGGAAAGGCAACATGAATCACTTGACTTTTACGGAAGGAAATTGTGCCCTGAAAAATGTATCAATAATCTTTAATTATGGGGGAAACAGGTCAGTGCAGCTGCGTAAAGGGTTAAGTACGTTGGTGGAGCCCCTCAAATTTCTAATGAGAGCTGAGGAGAGGGCGACTCGCAGTTGGAGAGAAGAAATCCGGGCGACGAAAATGAGTTAAAAATTATAATTTTAAAATTGTAATCGAAGCACTACTCGATTAAGAAGAGAGGCTAGTGATTGAACATGATCTAGTGCATGTAATCTTATTGATGCCAATGCACGGAGAGAGAAAAGTTGGATAAAAAACATCGGAAAGGTACACACACAGTAAAAAATCGTGAGTTAATTTCGACTTTGAGTTCACCCCAAAAACGGTGTGAACTTATTTTCACTTTTTTCACGGACAATTTTCTACTCTCTGGGGTGAAGAAGATCTAAAAATGGATTCCGCTGACGAAGACACGTCGAAACAAAAAATATTTATTCTTACTCACCATCAGGATTTGGTGGCGGTGGTGTAATGAATGGTGGAGGGTTGTTCTCGTTTTTATCATTATCCTCCACTTGGTCGAACTGTAAAATTGTTTGATGGATTTTATCGTTTTAACTCGTGACATATTATCTATTAAACATGTATAAACAATTAGCGAGCATTTTCCTGGTCATTGGATTAGTTACAAATAGATGAAACCAGTGAAGGAAGATTGAAACCATTCGGTTCTGCAATTTTAGTATTTTTTAAATCACAATAAATTGCATACAGAGACATATAGGCATTGTTACGGTATCTCTGTTGAGCTTCCGATGAATGATATTGACGTCAGGGGAGAATTGAGAAACCACTCCAGGAATATTGAAATCACAGAACTCCCTCAATCTATCTAGAGTATACACAGAGGAATGTAAAACCAGAATGATATATTGTAGCTCTCTGGGAGTGATGGCAGAAAAGCTTAAAAAATTCTGCGTCGCGGGAAATTAATATTCGCCCACTCCAATATTTCAACAGCGCTGTATACGTCGAGCCTCGGATCTTAAGTATTTTCCAATAATTATAGCGCAACATCAGCTGTACACTTGGGATTTTGTCACTAAGTCGACCAATTACTCGGTAATTTTTCAAGTGGAAAAACTCCAGGGACAGCAAATTTGTTTTCATTCAGTATATGCAAATTTGTGCTAATTTCACGGCACGGGAATACGTTGACTGATATCGTTAAAAAGATGTAAGAGTGGTTCGTTAAATAAATAAATAATTGCATGATGAAAAGTCTCCGGGGATCACTCAGGCTTTAATTGTCATTTTCTCCTCAGAATTGAGTTAAAAAATTCGTTACTGTTTGACGAATAATGACACAGCGCCGGGGTAGAGTTGTTCATTAATTATCACAGTCGCGGAAAGTCTCGTTAAAGTTGAAAATACATGGTTCAGTGATACTGCAGCTGTGTGGTGGTCAACGAATGCTGAGCAGTGTACGATCACATTAACACGGAGGTGTTTTGATAAGTGCGTCGCTTGTGAAGTACAATTATGTCACTTTTGTGAAATTTGTATGTTTCTCTTTCGAAAATTATTTGAAGCGAAGCTCACCATGGAAAGAAAACTTTCTCATTTTTCGAGGAAGGATAAATCAAAATAATATTTTTTCCATGATTTCTGGGAAGTACCATTTTTGGTTGACGAATGAACTTCAAAAAGCACACGGAAACAAAATTTACTTGAATTGAACATAAAATATGCTTGAATCAAGTATACTTTATACTCGAATCAAGAATAAAATATACTTGATTCAAGTATATTATTCTTGATTCGAGTCTAAAATATTCTTGATTCAAGTATATTTATTGGGGAATGGGTGTTTCAATTCGAGGATGATGATTTCGTATCAGCCCGGGTTGTACCAAGCGCTCTCAAGTGTGATATAAGGGTCAAAAAGGGGAGGTTAAGAAATGAGGGTCGGAATACTAGATTCAAAAACTGAGGGCCTGAATGTAAAGGAGAAGGAATGAGCGTCAGAATGTTAGGGTTAAAACAAGAAGGTCAGAATATTAGGATAAAAAAATTAGGGTCAGAATATAAAAGTAAAAAAAGTGAGTGTCAAGCAATGAGGGTCATATAGGGGCTAAAAGCGGGGATCAAGCATAATATATGACTTATATTTAGACCCTCATTGCCTGGCATCCACTGTTTTTTTTCCTTTTATATTTTGACACTTATATTGCACTTAAGAGGGCTGGCTACAACCCGGCCTGATACAAAACAAACATCTTTGAATTGAAATACCCATCCCCCAATTGAGTATAAAATATACTTGAATCGAGTATATTATATACTTGAATCAAGTATACTTTATATTTAATTCAAGTATATTTTTTTCCGTGCATCTTCTCGTACATTTTTAATAATTAAGTAGCGATAATTGATGACTATGTTCCAAAAACCATGACAAAAATTCATTCGTTTGGATCTTTTTTAGTTGAATTCTCGGTTGCGAAAAATTCAAATCTACAAAATTCGCTTTCCGAGGGAAAATTTTGTCGAAAATGGTATTTTGATTGATCTTTCCTCTTGAAAGATGAAGAAGTTTCCTTTCCGGGGAGGGCCTTGTTTTACATATTTATATATTGAAATAAGTTGAGAAAAATGGGAAAAATTATGGAGACAGATATTAATATGTTAATCATGATATCTTCTCTTATGACTGTAAAATTCACGATTTTACAATAGAGACTTTAAAATCATGAACCCTGAAGTAAGGGTCCAAGGCCATAGAAGTTTGAATCGGAAAATATACAGCATGAACTTCCATTGAAGTCTCAATGTTGGATTTCATGGAGAAAAAATGTCCTGAGTCGAATAATTGGACCTGACAAGTTCTACTTAGGTCTTTCCGTTCAGAACTGGATAGGTCTTGAACTCAGAGAAAAATCTGAAGTTCGATTTACAATAAGAAAATAGTTGAGGCATTTTGGTGAACGATACGAATTTTTTTTGTATGCGGCACATAACATTATAGTAACTTCACAAGCGTAATTTTTGCAAATAAAAATGCAGTTAAACTAACCAAAGTTCAAAAGTAACCATGACAAATATATCGTGAGGAGAACTGTAAAATAGTTGCAATGACTACATTCCATTGTAGTAATTACTTCTCCGGCCATAGTTACCGTCACCTATGAAAAATTGTTGAGGACTTTTTGACTATAATTCGATGGTGATGGAATATAGTCAGAAGAATTATATTTTTCTCTCAGTGTGGGAAGCCTCTTCCCAAGTGCTTCCGAGATCTTTCTGCCTCTGGTGATGTCCCATTTCAGCATTCGTTAGGTGTAAGCAGGACTTGTATTCAGACTTGCCGAATCCTTGCTGGTCCCCGTAATTCCATGGGCCTATATTAAATCCGGGTTCATATCCCTGTTTTCGCATGCGTTATTGAGATAAAAAATGCAATTATTGTTTTTTTTTTAAATCTCGAGAATCGACATTTCACGAGAGGGTGGGGGGAGACGCATGTATGCGGAGGCTTGAAATTTTTACCCAACAAGGGGAGAAGGTTGCAGAATTTATTCTAGTTACTCTTGTCCCTCCACTTGCATGCGTTGTCTAAATAAAAAATGAAATTGTTAACAAATCTGAACCTTGTTTCAAGTGAAAATGAAAGTTTTTTATTTCGACATTTCTGGCGCCTCCGAGGGTGTCATTGGCATTAGAGGAGTCAATAAATACGGAATCAACATTCACTTGGCGAAAAAATTCGATTTTAGAGAAAGTCGATTTTTCCCCTGAAAAAATCCAAGACCAGACACTTTGGTCCCCGGTGAAAAAATTTTTTTTTTCAGTTTTCACTTTTTCCACATACTGTTGAGAGTTCTGAATAACCCATCGCTTAAATAGTTGGAATCAATGTTCACCCGGCTAAAAAATTCGATTTTGGCTAAAGTCGGCGAAAAAAAAAATTTTCAGTTTTCACTTTTTCCACATACTTTTGAGGGTTCTAAATAGCCCGTCGCTTAAATAGTTGGAATCAACGTTCACTCGTCTAAAAAATTCGACTAAAAAATTTGGCTAAAAAATTCGAAAAAGTCGACTTTCCCTCTGAAAAAATCCAAGATCTGATCCTTTGGCTCCGGGTGAAACAATTTTTTTTTCAGTTTCCACTTTTTCCACACACTTTTGAGAGTTCTGAATAGCCCGTCGTTTAAATAGTTGGAATCAACGTTCACCGGGCTAAACAATTCGATTTTGGCGAAAATGGACTTTCACCCTGACGCCTGACCCCTGATCCCTGACCAGACCCACGTGAAAGTGAAATTTTTTTTCGTCTTTTCTGTCACCTCCGAGGGTTTCATTGGCATCAGGGGGTCAATAAATACAGAATCAACGTTCTCTATGTTTTATTTAAACACCGCCTGCAAACGGAGAGATGAGGGTGGCTAAAATATATTCTGCAACCCTCTCTCCTCGTTGGCTACAAATTTCAACCCTCCGCATACATGCCTTCCCCTCCGCCCCTCGTGAAATCCCGCGATCTCGGTAGTACAGAGGAGGACTTCTCAGGGCCGAAAAGAACTGAGGATTCAAAAGGTTTCCGGAAAAGTACGTCACAGAACTGATTAGGACTTACCAGGTCAATCTAGATCTGGAGAGATTTTGAAAGATCTGTGTACGTCCAATCAGAACCAAACCGTCGACTCGGGATATTTTTGAAACAAAAAACATCAAGTTTGTGGAAAGGGACCATAAATCACTTGACTTTCCCAACGTGTGTGTGAAAACTCTATTAATATTTTTTGATTATTGGGGAAATAGGTCATTACAGCTGCGTAAAGGGTTAAATACTCTGGTGGAGCCCCTCAGATTTCTAATGAGAGCTGAGGAGAGGGCGACTCAGTTCAGAGAGGAAATCCGAGCGACGGAAATGAATTAAAAATTATAATTTTAATGGATTAAGGGGTAAAATAAGTCGGATTAAGTCATATTAATGATCATCTTGAGATATAATTCCCATGCTGGACTCATTATGCTACATTTCGAATGATGCAATAATTGCAACCATCACGTGGAGTAATTCTTTAGAAAAATTCGATTGTGAATACTGGCAACAATCACAATGGACCGTCTAGAAAATTTCTGTTAAGGTCAAATTTCTAGGGCAGGTAAGGATGCTGTTAAGGTTAAATTTATAGGGCTTTCTGATAAAATTTTTGGGAATTTCAGTGAAAAATTCATTCATGTACGTGAACAATTGACATGCTACCCAATAAAACATCCAGAGCCGAAGAAATTATTTTTTTCTACTCAACCCTGACCGATGGCCGACTTTTATCACTACCAGAGTAAAACTACAAAAGTTACTTGAGGTATTTAAAAAATTTCAGCAAAATATTTACAGTTCTCCCATAGAGTGAAAATTTTTAGAAGAGAAAGTCTTATAGGGTGTCTACTGAGGGTTAAATATCTGTATTTGCATATACAAATAAACTATTACTACTATAGTACTAGTATTATTTTGAAAGAACGGATTGCGACGAGCCCTGTATGATTTTCGAAAAGATGCAAAGTCAGCACTGAA